AGCTCTCATATTAAGTATTGTTGAACCCAGAACCGTTTCCTTTCTTGAGTTCGCTTGGCAAAACTCCTTTCGGCTTTAGTCTTCGGTGGTCACGTTTTGCTCTGAGGCGATTGTTCTACAGAGGCACAAAAGTTTCTTCATATGCAACTCAGCAACAGGTCAGGCAAGCATGCCATCTCCACACGCAAGTGTAGATGGTGTTTCTGCCTAGTTAGCTAGACTCAGTTACGTTGCGTGACAACACCAATGTCAGCTCGCGATGCCTTTGAGGAATCGTTCGGGACATCTCAGACGGTCAACTGGCAAACTGTTACCGTCCCTAAGGCTTTGTCCGCGTGCATGTGTTTGCACACGAGAACAGCCACGTTATAGTGAGAAAGCAGATGTTCACCCCTTCGGTCTATTCCAAGATGACCCCTCGAAGAAGGGGACCATGCAGTGCGCCGTTTTTACGGACGTGTGCGGCGGAATTTGCATTTCACTCCGCCGCAGTTTAGCGGTATATGTTCCGCCCTCCCAAGAGCAATCACTGCACTAAAGGACTAGTCGCACCAACTGGTCTCTCCCATTCCAGTGTTCGGGGGAGTCTGCAAGTATTGGAGGCACTCCAGGCGACGCGGGATCCCACCCGCCTCACTGAAGGACATCCATTGACACAAACTCTGTTATTTCACCTGCCTAAACCCATTTGCTGCCTTCATTTAGGCTTCAGAATAAGGTGCCTAGTTGTGGCGGGCACTTAGTACTTGGGGTGACTGCTNACTGCTGAGTCTGTCCAACATAATGCGATGCTATCAAGTGTAAAGCGTGCTTTCCGTTCCTATTCAAGGAGAGACGTGAGCTGCCATGAGGGCAAATACTTGAGGCGAGAGTTTCCAGAAAAGCAGCTGACCTCCCTCGCCTGTTTCCAGGCATCCTGGGCGTTAAGCCCAGGCCTGTGGCTGCAGCTGCAGCTGCGGCCGGTGGCCTCCATCCACTGGTCTGTGGCTGTCGTTCTTGCCGCGTCTTTGAAACGCAGTCAATCGCTCGGCAGAATGGGTAATAAATTGGTTATTTTTAATTAAATGAATATTTTTACTGCTTATTTATCTAATTTTTTCACAATCAAATACATTGCAGTGTTCCTTCCTGCCTGATGTTGCGCTACAACCCACCCCGCGAGGTGACCCTGTGCTCGGGGTAGCAGGGCATGACCCCTCTTGGTCCTTTTTCGTTTTTGACGTTGGTTTCGGTGTTGCTTACTTTACTACTTGATTGTGTAAAGCATTTAATGCTGCACTACAACTCCCCTCTGTCTTCCGTGGGTCCAGTGTAGCGGCAGCCCCAGCAAGCAGCATGCTGCTGTCTCTCTTCCTCCCCTTCTTACCTTCTGCCTGCACCCCACGTCCTCCCTCCCTACGCCTCCGTCGCTGGCAGCTGGTGCGGCTTCCCCGCCGCGGCCGCCAGCGACGGCTGGGCTCCTCAGTGGAACAGGGAACATCGAACAACAGCAGCTGCTGCAGCGGTCTTCCACGACAGCTGCAACAACCGCAGCTGCAGCAGCATCCGGTGAAGGACAGCAATCCGAGAAAACCTGAAACCAATGAAGAAATTGCCGTTCAGGTGCCGGAGTGTCTCACCAACTCTTTGGCCCTCTTCCTCATCCATCTCAAACTACAGCGGGCTGTGCAGAACACCCTTTCACAAACGGAAATTCTTGCCCTATGCCTCCTCGCAAGGGAGCGCAGGCAACGGCTGCCTCCCTCCACTCCTACTGCAACGAAGGCGAAACCCATAGCAGATAAGGTGGCCCATTCCTCTGCTGAGGGACAGGCCCCCTGCTTTGCTAACGGGGGAACCCCCTGCTTTACCGATGGCCGATACCCCTGCTCAGCTGATGGGTGCTCTGGTAGCCCATCTCAGCAGTGCAGAGGCCCCACATGTGCCTCCCTTCCCTCGGCGTTCGCAACAGCTGTGGGGGGGAGGAGGTTTCGCATTGACCCTTTGGACGTTTGTGTTTTGTTGGCTTCCCAGCGCCTTCAGTTGGACGATTTGTCTCTACTTGATGATCTAGAGTCAGTCGCAGCAGAGACAGAGGCGGCACATGAGAAAGAAAACAAGTGGTGGAGGTGGGCAACGATGCTGGGGATAAACCGCACGCGCGGAGATATCTGGAAGTCTGCAGCAGCTAAGCTACAGCAGCAGCAGCAGAAGCAAGAACAGCAGCAACACCACCGCCTTGTGCGTCGCCGCCGCAAGAAGAGCCTCGTAGCCGAGGAATCGCTTCCGCCGTTTCCTGTCCTGGCAACATCGCCCTGCAGCGCTGCTGCAGCAAACAACAAAAACAACAACATAAAGAAAACAGCACTTGGAGCGCCAGCAGTAACACTATCAGCATCCGCAGCAGCCGAAAGTGGCTTCGCGCCTCTGCGTGGGCCTGGCAGTATGCAGCTGGGCCTCTGCCCAGATGCTGCAGCCACCGCAGGGGCCCCCGAGGCCCCAGGACGGTTCCCCACTGGCGCGTCTCTGGAGGCCCTGTCCCCAGCCAGCAGACACTGGGGCGACTGCACCTCTTTGCGAGGACCAGGAGCCCCTTCTTTTCACCCTTTTCGTTCGGACGAGGCTGGCGCAGAAGCACCAGCATCAGCAGTGGGTGAACCAGCTGCAGCAGCAGGGAATGAGGCGGCAGCAGCAGCAGCAGGGGAGGCAGCAGCTGCAGCAGTGGCACGTCTCAGTAGAAACTGCCTCGCGCTGCTTGGACATTCTTGTCAATGGCCTCTCGCAGCCTCTTGCACAGGGGGTCCGCGAGCTCTGGTATCTGATCCCGCAGGGGGTTCCCCCCGTGCATCTCAGGGGCCCCCCTCCTTAGGAGAAGACTGGAAGAGTGCTGTGGGGTTTCGGGAAGGTCGGAGGGGCAGCAGCAGCAGAAGGCGGGTGACGCTGCGGCGGCGGCAGCGTCTCTCTCCTTTGGACCCCCCTTACGACGCGCATGCGTTGCTGCTGCACCCCTTCTGCGCTGCTCCTGCTGCTGCTCTACCCGATGCAGAGACAGCCCGGGCTGCGGAGGTGCATGAAGTCGCTCTTGACTTCCTCAGCAGGACCAAGGGGACGCAAGGATGCCCCCAGTGTATTCGCGGCGAACCAAGAAAGGGAGACAAACAAAACCCGACAAATGCATCCCCTTGTCCCCACCACCAGCGCCTGCACTACACCAAAGTCGGTGAGCATGGCGCCTGTCTCCCGGNGCATCCCCTTGTCCCCACCACCAGCGCCTGCACTACACCAAAGTCGGTGAGCATGGCGCCTGTCTCCCGGCATAGTCTGGGGACCGTCTCCCCTCTAAGGATCATATAGGGACGCTCTCCCTTCTGCGAATCCTCTGGAAATCATTTACCGGGATCGTCTGGGGGGCGTATCCCGGGGTCATCTGGGGATCGGTGTCTCCCTGAATCCCAATATATGCTCCCTAAGCGGTAAACCCTAGCTAGACCCTAGACCCTAACCTAATCTCCCCTCTACGTTTGCGGATGCTAATCTGTACAGGGACAGGTCCCGAGAAGGTCATTCTCATTCATGGCATTTGTATGAGTGGTTACTTCTTCGCTGACGTCATCCGGGCCCTCTTTCCACACGCTGGAAGCAGGG